GAATTCCTTGGTGGAAGGAAGAAAGGGAGAAAACTAAATAGATTCAGCAGGTCTCGTGATATCTATTAAAAAAGGTCCAGTTAATACAAAAATGGTAAATCTAACGTATCTGAAATTAAGTACCTGCCTTTTTGTTTTCTAGCATGCATCTGGGAGAAGGAAAAGGTTGGAGTGTAATCCCATGTTTCTATGTGCCATGAAGTCTGTGGATCAATCCAGTAGTGCTACCATATGCTTGCTTTTTCAAGTATCTTCATGCACACTTGTTTGCCCCTTCATGCTATCCAGTGGTGTAACTGGGTAATGCAGTTCACTTCTGAAGTCTGTTTTGAGTAGAGAAAGAGAACAGATCATGTCTATTGTGCCTTTCTTTGTGGGGATGTTGCAGAAATAATTTGGTGGTGAATAAGAAGCTTAAAATTTTAACTTATAAAAATATCAAACTAGAGATTCAGGTTAGAAATATGATCTGAAAAGTAGTTACATTCTGGAGCTGAAATGAGGTACCTATGCTGCTATGGTAGCAGAATGAGTAGTTTTCTTATCCAAGCATTTGTAGCTTTTGGTGACTTTAAAGGCAATGGTAGCTACTTTCACTTCTGAAGTTTAGGTCTCCATATTTTTCCTTCCCATTTGAAAGTGGACTCACGTAGTATATTATTGAAAGTCCTATTTCTAGACAGAAGGGCACAGTTTTCATGTTCTCAGGTGAAGGAATGAGCAGGCATACCAATGTTTCCTGTTTGTGGTGGTAAAATAGCTGTTGGAACAGCTGTGGCATGGATACACACTCAATGAGAACTGAAGGGGTCCTTTCCCTGCTGTGCTACTGAGGGCAACAGCAGATGTTTCTGAGTTCAGGCATGTGTGGTCATTCTTTAAGAGACTAAGATGGGGAAGCAGGTTTACGAACTGTAATTTGCCCAAATAGAGTGTTTTTGAGGTGGTATTCTCATTTGGAGATGAATTAGCAGAAGTGGACACATTCAGGCACTTACTGTTAAGGTATGGCAGTGGGAACACTCTCTAGATAGGCAGTAGTGGATGGATGCATTGAATCACTGCTAGAGCCACTGACAGTGTCTTAGGAGGTCCTTGTCAAAGTGGTGATGAAGTTCCAACATCTATAGGTGTGTTGAGTTATGGTATGTTTAATATCTGTTTAAGGGCTGTAGGCCAGAGCTTTTTTCATTACTTTTTTAGAGGCAAAAACTGAGGACAAGTTGAAAGCATTGCCAAAACCATGATCATGAGGAAAGAGCATTGCTTCCTACTGTACCAGTATATGTGCATTTCCCTTCCTTCTCCAGCAGCATGAGACTTTGGATCCTCTAGGTCTATCTTGCCCTACCATGGACGTGCCTTTGTGCTATCAGCATCCCTCCATCAGCATATATCTATGCTGCCTCCAAGCATGGCTATAAAAGCTCATTAGCTGTGCTCTGTTTCTTGGTCCTTCCTTCTGTCCTTCCACTCTGGTACTGAGCCCTGCTATGGAGTTACAAGCTCTGTGTTTCAAATCTCTGGACATTCTTTTCTCCTTCCTCCTCCTGCCTTTGTACAGGTGCCAAACTGAGGAGCTTTTGCTATGAAATTCCTGTCCTGAGTTCTGCACCTCCTTCCCAAGCAAACATTGGGAGTCTACTACAGAGAAGCAACACTACAGCATTTTCTATTAAACAACTGGAATGAAGTTTTGTACTTACAAGGCAGATTGTAAGAATGGCTTTTCAACCCTACGCTTGCAAGAGTGTTTTTTCTAGGGCTCCAGCTGGTGATGTTGACTGTCAGGAGACAACTGAACTGTGTCCACATATGACCCATGGGTTATCTGATTAAAAAGTTCTTCATCTTGTATTGGGATCCCATTGTGATCTTAGAACTGAAAATAAGGCTGGCTTAGGCTAGAAATCGGTGTACACATTCTGATTTCCAGTTACTTTAGATCCTTGATGGATCTGTAAGTTATCTTGAAAGCATTCCCTGCTTAACATGAGTTTTCCTTTGTGCAGAGTGTTCTACCATATTATGTGGCAACAAAAATGTCCAAAATCCGCAAGCCAACCCTCGATAAGCCCAGTCCTGAAACGTATGTCAGAGCTGCCTTGGGCACGGTGGGCCTGCAGTCCCAGACCAATGGGTACCTACCTCATGCACTCATGGTAAGTCACCTTGGAAAATGTCAGGATCTGAAGTGTCCTTTGTGTTTATGATGGAAAAAAAGAGTAATTAGTACAAGTTATGAAATGCTGAGACCTCACTCCCTCCTTTTATTTTAATTTGGTCTGTTTTCTTGGTTTTTTTTGGTTTTTTTTAGGGATGGGTCATCTCTCTTCTACCTACATCTACTGCCATTAACTTAATCATGAAAACAAACAAACAAATACGGGCCCGTTATTTTAAAAAAATGAAGGAGAAGTAAGTGAGAAGCAACTTGATTTTGGGAGCCTGTGATTCCTGCAAGTTCCACACCATGCTGCAACATCAAGTAGACCTAATGTTTTAAACATTTCCAATCGTAGGTGTGCTTTCTAACAAGAGAACAGTCTTGTTTTGAGGATACAGATGAAACAAGACTGTTGACTTCTAATATTGATTGAAAAATAGGCTTTATTTGTTTATAGATATTATGAGGGGGGAAGTGCTTTGAACTAAAATTGCGTTGTGCTTTACGAAATACTTTCATGGACTTGATCAGACATCACGCTGTTGAGGAACATCTTGGTTGTATGGTGTCCATCATATCTATTATTGTGCTCATGGGTGAAGGGCAAAAAAAGAAGCAGTTCTCATATATTCCTGGACAGGGGGCAGGAGAGGAAAGGGAGCATAATGATTTAAAAAGGTAACCTAGTACTATTTCCAGAGTATTGACCTCTTGAAGCTCAAGTTTTGGATCCTTGCAAGGATTCTGCACTATCAGTCAGCTCATGAGTGCTCCCCTGCTTACATGGTCCAGTGTGTTTTTTTTGGTTATGAACTTGAGGGAAATGGGCCAAAAACCAAAATAAGTATAATAGCTCATCTATAAATATATACATAAAGTAACATTGCAAAAAGCATTTGAAATCTTGGGTCTTGAATATGGATTCTAACTTTTCAGTAATATGTAATCTTCATGATTTGTAATAACATTTCTAAAAGTTCAGTGCCTGTTCTTTGTAATAGGTGGTGATAACACAATGTAGATAAACGTCACAAGTTACATGTTACATGCTGGTTGCTATGTAAAAGATTATGGGTACTTTAAATGCAGAGCTTGAAATTAGTTACTCCCCTTGTTAGCAACGGTGGTTAAATTCTTTTTGAAGTTATGTATCAGTCTGTCTTTCTGGTGAGGTCCTTTGAAATGTGACTCCTGAATATTTAGATGGCTTTAAAAATTAGAACCAGGAAATGTCTTAAAGAGTAGAACAGTTTTCATTTAATTGCATTAAAATTAACTGATTTTCTTTCATGGTTCTGTTCCGACATGGAATGTTCCTACGAGGCTTAAGTTACCTAACTCCCGGACACAGGGATCAGAGTACATGAGAAGTCTGCACTGCTGTTCTCTGTATTTACCTACTCTTTATTGAAGATTTTGGTCTCTAACATTCCTTTGTATAAACATAAAATGTATAAAACTTGCAAGGCAAATGAAATTGCAAGCAGCTACCACTGTTTTCTGTGGTGATTTCCTGTGGTTGAAGAGGGGAAGTTTTTTTCTGTCCTTCAAAGAATAATTTCAAGCTCTGATTTTGAAGTAAGATGTGTTGCACTGAGACATGATTTGGGGCTAACATTTCTGTACATTGAAAAAACCTGAATACCGATGCAATGGTGCTGATCAAATCTGAGATGCAGATCCTATCCCATAGTTTTCTTAATTTTTTGGAACAGGGATGGTGAAGTTGGTGGTATTAGTTCTCTAAGAGCACGTGATTTGGTTTGCTCTGGATCTGATGTGAAAGCATTGGACTAAAAAATCTGTATGTTTTTGACTTTGTAAAACAAATAAACCTGAAATTACTCTGGAGTTTTTAATGTATTAGGTTTTTCTTGTAAAAATGTTTGCGGGTACATTCAAGTGTCTGATTGTCCTTTATTGTGAGTAATATCAGTGAAAATTACTGTACTTTTACATGCCAGAATCAATGCTTATATTAATCTGTTTCCCTGGCTGTCATCTACCCCCTATCTGGGGTGCTTTAGGCACAGCATCTCTGGCCAGTTGAGGTAGGTGACTCTCCTGCTCTGCTCTGCACTGGTGTGGCCTCACCTTGAATACTTTGTGTGCAGTTCTGAGTGCCACAATATAAGGTACAAAGCTATTGAAGAGTGTCCAGAGGACTACTGTGGAGATGGTGAAGGGCCTGGAGGAGAAGCCTTGTGAAGAGCAGTTTAAGGTGACTTGGTTTGTTCAGCCTGGAAGGGACTGACAGGAGACCTCATCGTGGTGTTCTTCACAAGGGGAGGTGGAGTGGCAGACACTGATCTCTGTGGAAGCAAGGGAACAGCATGAAGCTGAGTCAGGGAGGTTTGGGTTGGATACTAGGCAAAGGTTCTTCACCCCAAGGATGTCTGGGCACTGGAACAAGCTCCCCACGGAATCATGGCACCAAGCCTGACAGAGTTAAGGAAGTGTTTGGCCAACAATCTCAAAAAGCACATGGTGTGGTTTTTGGGGCTGTCCTGTGCAAGGCCACTAGTTGGACTTAGGATGTTCTTTGTGAATCCCTTCCAATTCTATGGATAGGATTCTAAGGATATTCTGTGATTTTACAGTGCTGATACTTGAAATAAGCAGAATACAAATTTCATTAGAACTGTTAAGCTAGTAATAAACGTTTATTTCCAAATAACAATTTTCTGACTACTGAAGGTCTCCAGAAAGGTGTGGCAGAGGGAATAGCACGCACACCGAACTGGCACAGAGGGAGCGGTGCCCAGGTAAGGAGGCTCTCAGAGCCCCCGGTCCCCTTTCAGGCGGTGGCAGGCTGCAGGTTGGGTTCCTCATACTCTCACACCCTGAGGTCTTCTAATTTTCCAAGCTGCAGCAGGGAATCACTAAACGAATGTTTTACCTAAGTTTTACTTACACTATAACCTAAATTACCTCGACTTTGATTTTGAATGTCTTCACCTCCGTGATGGAGGTAATGTCTATTTAATAGCTGTCCACGTCCTTGCGACTACCCGGGGCACCTGTCAGGAAACAGGAGGGGTTTTCTGGTGTCATCAGGCCCGTCCCTTGCTGGTTCCAAGAATATTTTTCTAGCCGTGCACCGCCTGGAATGCAGTTTGATCCCGTGTCGGAACGGGACGAGCCGGGGGAGGCGGTCGGGCCCGCTGGCTCCGTGGCGCAGGGCGCCTTTAATTGGAGCTCGGCCCCTGCGTGCGCGGCGGGCGGGCGGAGCCGCGGCCGCACAGCCGGGCCCGGGCCGGGCATGGCGGAGAGGCGGCAGCGGGCCCGGGTGCAGGGCGGCTGGGCCGGCGCCCCGGCGGGGCGGCCCGCAGGTAAGGCGCGCCCACAGCCGTCCTTCCCTTCCTTCCCGCCGGCCGGGACCCCTCCGCTGCCGTCCTGGGCGAGACGGGGCGAGCAGCAGGCGGGCGCCGGTCTCCGGCCGCACTTTCCGGGCGCCCTGCGCGGCCCCGTTCCCCCGTTCCCGTCGGTAACTGCAGTGCAGGCGTTCGTTCAGTTTTTAAGTGAAATGTGCGCCCAGGTGCGGCGGCTTTGGCAGCAGAACGCGGGGTGTGGGGGTGTTGCTGACGGGCACTTCGAGCTGAGCCCGTCGGTCCCATCTCCGGGCGGCTCGAATGGGGCGAGTCGTGTTTGGTGGAGCTGACTTCTCCAAGAACAGTCAGGCACTTCTTGTCCATAAAACGCATTACGTGCCTTCGTTTGGCTTTTCACGGTGAAAACACAGTAAAATAAAGAGAAGTAGTGGAAAGGGATGGAGTTAGCATCACGGGATTTTTAGCAACACTGAAACCGGAGAGTGCAGAGCCAGAGGAGCGCTTTGAAAGTTTCTAGTGCAGGAGGGACTGGTTTGTTTTCGTGAACGTACTCAAAGCATGTTCCACTCACCTGATTGTAGTTTCCATAAAGCTCCCATATCTCTGCAGACTGAGCATCCTAGGCAAGCTGAATTTGTTTTTAATCATGAAAGAGAATAGACGACTGTTTTGACTTGTGCATGTGGCCCCAAAATTTTCTGTCATGGTGCATGTCATTGCTCCTGTTTCTAAGGCGATTTTAAAAAGTTCCCCGTTGTTTGGATTATGCAGAGTGAAGACTGTGTTTCAGGCCCACTTTAAAGCCTGTTTGCATGTGTAAATAAAACACCTGAAGTGGTGTGCTGAAGTTGCTCTTCCACTTCCTCCCTGGTTTAAAAATTCTGTTTTAATAGAACTATTTTTCTTTTCTTTGAAAAGGAATACAGAGGGAAGTAGTTTAGCTGCATGGAGCAATTTCTCCTGGTGTATCATAGGTGTTTGTTGTAGTATTGAAAAGTTATAGATGTCATCCTTTCAGATAAAAGTATGTTTTCAGTTTTGTTTGTGGATAAATAACAAATATATATTAAAAAAATAATCAGTTCCTGTGCAATTTTGACTCTTAGGTTTGGCAGTTTCCTGAAGTCTCTGCCAAGCATAGGAGAATACTCCAAGGAATGATTCCATAAGTTTTCCCTAACTATATTTTTTAGTATGGTGATATTGAATTCATGGGATCTTTTCTTCCTTCTTTCTTTGGTTTAGCACCTAAGGCACCTGTGGCCAGCAGCCTTGCCCTTGCAGGTGCGAGACCAGCATGGAGACAGAAAGATCAGCCTCATGCTCAAAAGCAGTTTGTCTTTGAAAAGCCATCACAGGTAAAACTTAGCAGAATCTCATCTGTTATGAAACTTCAAATGATAGGTAACAGTTGTTTGAGAGTATAGTTCATTGTTTAAAATCTGAGCCGAGCTTTGAGCTTTTGCTAAGCAGAGTTGGTAATTGTTTTGTGTATATGATGAACAGAAAGTTATGGTTCCTCTGTTTAGCCTGTTCATAACTACTCTTAGAGACCCAAAAGAATATGTTCTACTAAATATTCAGTGTGCAATGTCCTAAGCATGGTTTGAGCTTTTCTTCCTCAGGTGGGGTATCTGTCTTAACTTGTAACAGGGGAAGAGCGTGTATTTGTTTTGTAGACTTTATGTCCCATCAGCTGATGAAGGATATTGTGCTCTATGCAGCATATGGGAATGTCCTTCCTTGGGGAAAAAGTAATCATGAGCACTTCTTTCTAAGCTAGACCTATTTGAAAGGCTGCCATCTAGGCTTGGAAGCACTGAAGATGGCCTGGGAAGATTCTCTTTCCCCTGTGGCAGGGACCTGCTATCTATATAGTACTGTGTTTTGATCCTCTTGTTGGCTCAGTGCAGTAACTCCTTGCAAATCAGAACTCCACTGAGCTCAGGGAAGAGAAGCATAAATCCCTTAGACAACCAGAATGATAGCCAAGGCTGGATTAAACTACTCTGTCTCTTAACAAAATACAGCTATCTCAGCTGTGCAGACAGCTTTACAGTGTAAGCTCCTGCTATGTCTGATATTTCATGTTTTGCTCGTTTGACTGAGGCCTGCAGTTTGTTCATGTTTCTTAGGGTTTTTTGGAATTTTTCTTTACATAAGGATATTTTTATAAACATAAAAATAAGAATTCTCTTGATTGCAGTTGATAAATATCAAGTATTGTGATGTCTAAATAATTTAGAAATCAGTGTCCTTTAGGGGGCAGTTGATGGCTAAAAACCAGCGTGCAGTGGTAGCTGCATTTGAGAGTTTCTGGGACGAGGAGGGAGTGGCTGAGCTGTTACCACTTCCCTCTTGCCCTGAGGTCTGTTTTTCTCACTGGCTTATCAGTGTGTGGCTCCACAGAGTCACTAGAGATGATGTTTGACTGGAGGGTGCCAGATGCTGTAGTATTCACTGTGTACTGTCTCATTCCCTTTCAGGTGGAGCGCAGAGTTCCTGAGGCAGGTGTGATAGAGTGAGTACCCTGCTGATTTCTCTGCACTTTTTCTGTCATCGTGGTTGGTAAGAGTAGAAATTAGAGACTTTTAACCCTTCTATCATGAGCTGAATGTGTTATCAGGAGAACCCAAGTCTGTTAACTGGTTTTTATGCCTTTTGCATAGCTGGGAAGCCAGACACGATGGTCAGTTGAACACTCTGGTTCAGCACAATTGCCAGTATGTCTCCTTTGGTTAGCAGTGTACATTTTCCTGGGACAGTCCCAGTGTAAACTATGTATAAACTAGAAATTACTTACTCTGGCATATACCAGAAATATAGCTGGTATGGCAGCTTCTTTCAGGACTCAGAGAAGTAGCTGATAGTAAGTTTCATAGTCAGGCTGAGTATTTGTATGTCACTTAGCCTTTGTGCTGAAATGGGGATCTTCCCAGGATACCTTTGGCATGAAGCATGATGAAGTGTGTTGGTATATGGTGGAGTTAGAGATACTGAAAATCCAGCTTGTGTCAGTTCAGCTGTCTTGGTAGAATTTTCTTTTTCAGTGTACCCATAAATGCAAACATAGTGATCTGAGTGCAGTCATGTATGGTTGTCTTCCTTTGGTTCCCTGTGACATCCCTTGCCGCTTCTCTTTCCCCGGCTAGCTGATGTTGAGAGTGGGGGGCGGCAGCTTTTCCCCCTGGAGCTCCTTGAATCCCAGTTGTCAGTCGATACAGCGCAGTGTAAAACACAGGCAGCGCACATGGGTCCCAGGGAAACTTTATTTGATGGTGTTTCTTCCCCTCTTTCTTCCTGGGCCCCAACTCAGGGGCCAACAGAGACTTATACCGCAGGGGAAAGGCAGGGGCAGACCCAACTTCCAACAAATCAGGAGAGTTGGGAGTAAAAACCCAGGCGGGAAATAACGGTAGCGGACCAATAAACTTCCAAGGAAGAAAAACAGTTTTAGGAAATGGGTAAAGTTTGGAGAAATAGAAACTAGCTGACGACATTTCTGGGAAAAGGGTGGAGACAAAAGAAAAAACCAGCACCCAGGAAAACTACTAAATCACAAATCAAGCCATAGACCTACTGATAAAACAAAAAGCACGATACAACAATCCCTCTTTTATTTTTTTTCTGAGAGCCCTAAAACCATACTGAGCCTTTTGATGAAGGGAGGGACAGAGAGTACACACAAACTCATTTGCTTCTGCAGCATGCCTTGCTGCCTTACTCTGACCTTTATGTCCAGGATATTATTTCTTCCCTTTTCTAACTTTCTTTTCTCTTTTCAAGAAAACTTTCCCTAGTCCAGGCCTACAGCAATTCTAGTCTGTGCTGCTCAGTCTAAGATAATTTCTTGATAGTCTTTGTGATGGCTCTTTCCTTTCTACATCCTCAGCAAGCCAGGTGTGTATGAGCTCAGCAAGGGACCAACTGGCATTTCTAGGTAAGTGGATGAAATGTTAGTGGCTTTTGCAGAGTAATGTGGTGATGCTCAGCTTTCTGAAGTCCAGTCTCTGCAGAGAGTTTTGACATCATCAGCTGCACATGGCACTTCCTGTGCATCGTCTGTTTAGAGTACTTCTGGAAGTACTTTTGAGTGGCACATAGCAGGGACTGAGATGGTTCTGAGCAGCACTGAAGAGAAATAAAAGAAACCTCTTGACATGTGGTGTGTACTGCATGTGATGCTTTTTCCAGAATAAGGGACAAGGGGCTGTGTCCATTTGTGATTCACAGTAAGTTGCTGATGCAAATTTGGATCAGTATTCCTGTGTTAGCAAGTGTGTGATGTCTCTTGTACAGTTAAGAGCAACCCAAAACTTGTGGCTGTAAATTGGAATTGTTTTAAATAAATCTAATGAAAGCATTTAACTTCAGGCAATTGTGGTAACCTCAGGAATGTCCCTTGTGCTTATATGCCATGCCTTAATTATTTCAGCTTCAGGACACTTCAAAACAAAACGTGCTTGTTCTGTGATTCCTACTAACTAAAATACATTTTACCTTGCTGACTTAGCTGCAATGTCAGTATTAAGCCTCTTCATTTGAATTTAATAGGTTTTTATTAACAGTGGAAAAAATGCTAAGGACATAGTAATTTTTTGTGCATTTATTTAATTTCTTCTGATTATTGTATTATTTTATTTTTGTGCCTTCATCTTAGATTCTTCTAAAGATGCAAGTAAATCTTTAAAGTATTTTGAAAAGTAAAAGCTCTGACCAGCTGGAAAGAGACAAGATACACAGCTGGGTTATCCTGCATTTTCTGGAGTTTGTTTTCCTAATACACTGATAGAATATATATTTCTGGAAAGCTAATAATCAGATTGGCATCTTTTTTTAACACCTTTACTATATACTCTTACTGTGATTTTTTTGGGGCATGAAATACTTGTGAGAGTAAACTACTGTTAGCAGCATTCCTACTCTGCAGCCCACCACAGTGGCTGTAATTATTGGATGACTGTTAGTCAAATCAAAATATTTGATGTACATATGGAAATGAAAAAACAGGAGGTGTTAAATACTGTCCTGATGCTAAATACTTCTCCTTATGCTTTCAAAAAGAGAACAGGAATGGCAGTAGGGATAAAGGGCTATGAAATTCGAAGTGATATGGAGATGGTGAATAAGGGGCAATTATTTACTTAATTTTGATTGTATTGCCATAATCAAGTGTATTTGATCTATCAGATGTGAAGTTAATAACAAGCAGAAGGATGCCATTTTTCACAGCAAATGGCTGATCCTGGAATTCATGGTATGTTGCTGGTTGTCATATGTTTTTATAGGTTTTGGAAAGAAATTACATTCATTTGGTGAGGGTAAGACTCAACAGGAGCCCTTCTGTTCTTTCCTTCACACCTGCTTTGGCTGTGGTCAGAAACAGAATACTGGGCTTTGACTTTTGATATGATGCATTACAGCCACTTTTATCTCCTTTGGGAATCCTGGAAATGAAAATATTTTCCCAAAGCAGATATAGAAATGTATATTCCTTCAATTTTTCTTTTTCATGCTTAGGATTCATTTGATTCCTGGCTTTATTGACTCAGAACAAGCAGACTGGATGTTTGAGCAACTCCTCCAAGACATACCCTGGGGTCGGCGAACCCACATCAGACATGGTAAGGAGTGTGTGACCACCTTTTCAGCTCATTCACAGGTCAGGTCCATAACAGAATCTGTGTTCTGTTCAGAGTTGGTTTTCATTTCATTTTTAGTGTTACCACTTCTTTAAGTTTCCATGTAGGTTTTCCATGCATATCTGAAGACTACTGCAGCTTGCTTTTCAGTCTCTAATACCATATTACTATTGCCAACTAAATGAGATCTTTCCAAATTAAAATTGCCTGCCTTAAAAATCTTGGGATTTTACTGGTTTTTTTCTGTCAATTCCAGTTCTTTTTCTCACTCATTTTTTTAAGATTAAGTCTGGCCACCATCATACAATCTCCCAGCAATGCTGCAAAAACTGTGTTCTTGGAGGTTTCTTTCATGAGGTATATTGTTTGCCTCTTGTTACTGAAGATCCCAGCAGAGCATGTTCCTTTTCCCTTGGCTTTAGCTATTAGTTCCACTATGCAGTAGGTGAAAAGGCTGCTATTCTGGATTTGTTCACTAAGGGGCACCTGTTCTAGCTAAATTTCACTTTCAGGAAGGAACTGATGTAAGATAATGTATCAGAGCACTTACTGGATGGGGCTGGAAAATATCTTCAACATGTGTGTTTCTTGCTGGCAATAAAGGGACAGTATAGTGGAGAATGCTGCCTGTCAAGTATGAGAAATAGTTGCCAAGATGTCTTTTCAGAAGCTGACAGTATTTTTAACCTGATGTTTGTATTATACCACAGAGCACACATACATTTGACAAAGTATTGTATCCAGCCTTACTACCTTTTGTTTCTGTAATCTCCAAGGATGCTACAGTCCTTTCTACTTCACCCTTTCCAGTGGATCCATCTGCATCTTGCAACTTACACCAGCATACTGGGCACCAGAGCCAAGTGAATGTAAAACAAGATAAAATTTCAGTTGCATTTGCTATCTTTAACTCATCCAGTCCTTGCTATTTCTAGCATTTAGGGGTAAGAAAATGGATGTCTTTTCAAGATTTTGGTAAGGTAATTTCTCCTGCAGATGCACACCTGATTTTGAGTAATTTAATTCCTTCATTTGAGTTCTTTATGTAAAGCTGAAGATTTTAAGGGACTGCTTTTTAACTTTAGGTGAATGGGTAATCCCTTTTTGATCAAATTTCTTGGCAGAATTGCATTATCTTTCCATTTTCAAATCCTTTGTTTAAGGCAACTGAGAAAGTCTTCCTGTTTTTTTCAGAAGTATCATTTGAGGAACCACGGCTTACATCCTGGTATGGGGAACTTCCTTACACATACTCCAGGATAACAATGCAGCCAAATCCAAATGTATGTATATGTTTGTATGTGTTTCATTATTGTCTACAGAGAAATCCTTTGCAGAGATCAAGAGACAAAAATGCCCTCTGTCCTCTATTATGGTTATCTAGAGAATCTGTTGGCATTTCATTTGTAATCAGCAGTAGATTCTCCTGGAATGTGGTCACTTTTACACAACACACTTTATGAGAGCAGTGTGATTTAGTTGCCAAATGTTTCCAAAAGGAGGTTACGACTCTATAGTTTAAAGTTTTGCTTTGGGTCACTGTAGCTTTGTACAAAACTCTGAATTGCTCTGTATGACTTACCCCAAGCATCTTTGTATGGGAGATTGTACTGCCCATAATCATACTGATTTTTTTGTTGTAAAGATACAGTAATACCAATTACTGAAAGTTACTTTCAGGAACACTTAGGTTCAATACTGCTTAAATGAAAGTTTAGGCATATTTTGATTCCTGTGTGGATGCTATGAAATTCACACATCTGTGAGCTGCTGAGCAGCTCATCTGCTCAGCAATTCCAGATTGTAGCATGTAATTTTCCACACTGTTTTGGAAGAGTTAAAAACCTTCTGAGTGACTCAGTGATGTTTTGTTCATGTTTTCTCTCCCTCCCCCACCCCCCACCTCTCTCTCTTTCTCTCTCTCTCAGCCTGTTGTCCCCTTCAGCCTGTCTCTTGGTATTGCTTTGTTTAAAATTTCCACAGCAGTGATTAGGTGTCACTGTTGAAAGCTGGATAGCATGAGAGAAAAGTGTCCCAAGTCCCAGAACTGCTGCCAAAGTGGGATGTTTGGGAAGAGTTGGAAAGGCGTTATTGAACATGATGAGTTGTGAAGATTTTGTAGTCCCAAAAATACTGTAGTAAAAAATTCTAAGGTCTTTGGAGCTTGTGGTGGAAAACCAGGCAATCCTTTGTTACTTGTTTGTGAAATACTATTTTAAATGGGCTTTTCTGAAAGCTGAATGGCTTTAGGGATTGGAAGTGCCCTCACAAAATCATTCTGTTTTACACTAATGATTTCAATCTAGTTCAGAACTGCCTGGTGTGAAATCCGTTGCTATTCAGAGATTGGATAGAGCCCATATACCCTGAATTCAAGGTTTCATTTCAGTTTGCATCAAGTTCTGAGATAGCACTCATTGGGCCACTGGCTTGTTTCTCTCATCCAAAAGGTACAAGGCCTAAATGAGTTACTCAGGTTGGTTCTGTCTTTTATTCCTGAATATTTCTGCTTTTTACTGAGAGAAAGAAACTCAAGCAAAAAGTGAGAAGTACTGGAGAAGCTGCATGGCTGGAAGCTGCCCATAGGCAGATCTATGGGTACACTGCACAGGGACACTGGTATTTCACACAGCTTTGCAGGTGGGAGTACCTGCCGCTTAGAAAAGTAGGGGATGGTGTAAAGAGTACAGTCTCTACCTGTAGAATAGGGTTTCTAGCACAAAAATATCCTGAGTAGAAGGTAATTTAGTGCGCAGCTTAGCCAAAACTGATTACTGCCTTAAACACTTCTATCTGTAGGAGTAATTAGCTTTGTGCCCCTCTTTTTTTGTTTGGTAAGAATTGGTGTGATTGCAGCACTTCTAGATATAATCCAGTGTTTGTGCCTCAATTATTTTTGCTATTAGAAAGTGTTTTTCTGTAAGCAGTGATAGAGTTGTTTTAATAAAGCTACTTCCACTGCTTCAGGTTTGTAGTGGGCTTTCAATTACATTGTGAAATTCACCGTATGGTAACATTTTAGTAACACATATTTCTGTGATGGGAATTGAAGAAATCTGGTCCTGGTTCATGGGATGCTACAGCTGGTCACTGAAAAGTGCTCTCAATAATTCTTGTTGGACTCTTCTGCACATTCAGGCAGCCCAGTTGCAAAGCAAACTTTTTTTGGGTGATATTTTTACTTTCCCAACATGTTCCATAGCTGCAGCCTATGTTTACTAGAATTAATTACTCACATGATGCTTAATTGTTGAAGGCATGACTTAGCTAGAAGTACCCCATGAGAGAAAGATGGTATGTTGAGGCTCCTGCAGTGTAACCAATAGTTAAATACTTGTTAAACGTGGGGAAGCTTGGAAAGCAGGTAGTGCAGCCTTGTTTATTAGAGGTGGATACTAGAAAATACTTCCAGCTGTCTGTTGCTTCTTTGCCAGTGGTGCAGTGGGAGATTTGGAATCAGTTTCTTATCCTCTCTTGCTCTCTGTTTCTGCTTATATAATGGGCACATTATATTGTGCCCTACATTGCTTTGGCTTTTTTTTTTTCTTTATATATTTGTGAAGTTCGTAAAAGCACTCTGACAGATGAAAGTCATGATGTAACTTCATAACATTAAATAACTGGACTGACTTGTAGTGGAATGTACAGAGCTTTCCTGGGCTGTGGGTTCAGCAAGATGTTAGCAAAGGGAAGGATGAAATCCAGAGCCAGTGACATTGGTTTTGTGACCCACTGAAGAGTTACAGTGTCGAAGGCAAAACCCCAAGAGGTGATGACTTGAGCTCAACAAGCTGTGCTAACAGAGTGGGGACAGAGGGCTGTGTTATGCCAACCATTTCCTCTTGTTCTCTGTCAACAGCTGCAGGCAATTGAGAGCAGTGTCATTTAGTCACTGATTGCCTCCATTTGTATGAAAGGCAGCCTGGCTTCAGAGTTTTAGGAGATGATTTAGTGTTGAGTGATGGGTAACGTGTGCATATTTCTCAGAAAGCCCAGCCCATTCCTCTGCTCTACTAAAAATACCATCACAATTGCTGCAATTTGTTTGATATTAAGTTTATTGTGATTAAAGTGCAGTATATGTTGTTTCTTGGTGGTTTTTGCCTTCTGTCTCGCATCCCCTGCCCCTGGCCTTCGTTCATGGCATTTACGTTTGGCTCTGTGCTGATTGCAGTGGCATCCTCTGCTGAGCATGCTGAAGGAGCGCATTGAGGAGTTCACTGGCTACACCTTCAACTCTCTTCTCTGCAACCTCTACCGACACGAGAAGGACAGCGTGGACTGGCACAGTGACGACGAGCCATCGCTGGGGAAAAATCCTGTCATTGCCTCGCTCAGCTTTGGTGCTACTCGGACCTTCGAGATGAGGAAGAAACCTTCCCCTGTGAGTGTTCCTACCACACTGAGAGACTCTTATAACTACTAATATGATTATTGTTTTCCCCATTTAGCAAACTTAATTACTAAAGCATTTCAAAGTTAATGAAAGCACAACTTGGAAAGTTCTGTGGAATAAGTGTAGGGCTCAAGAAATCTGTTGCATGGACCATGACATTCTGAGGATGGTGATGGGAGCACTCTAATAATGTGTAGCAGTATAATGCAGTGAATTGGAACCTGGGCAGCCTTCTGCCCAAATAAAGGCCCTTCCTGGTGCTTAAAATGAGATCAGTGATGATGGAAGTGGACTTACACTGTGCAAATGACTCAAAGAGTTGCATTTTCTTAAACTCAAGACAATGTTACGTAATGCAGAGTGTACACGGGGTGAAGAGTAGTTCTGACTACTCTTGTACGTAAAAATCCTCTTAACAGTGTTTGCATTTTGACGTGTGTGTATTCAGATTGAGGGTCAGTGAACAAAGGGAAGAAGCTCATTTCTTTTCCGTGTAATGCCTTGGAAGCTGTCACATCATATTCCAGGGCTAAACAGTGATCCTCTACTTGGATAGGGAAACCTGTGGGATATCCTTTTGGGAGTTAATTGGTGATTCAGTAGTGAATACTTTTGCTAGATAAAGTGCTGTGCTTGAGAGTGCTTTGTTTATAAGTCAGCTTAAACTTTGCAGTTTGTATTTATCCAAGTAAAGGATTCACATGTGTTGAGAATACAGGCCTTATTTTAGGGCGTCCTGTTTCAGATGAATTTTCTGCTTGTTCAGTCTTCGACAACTTTGGAAAGAAGTTTGCTAGCTGCTTGTGTTACTGTTTATTCTGAGTAGGCAGTACAGAAAGCAGAGGTGATAATTACCGGCCTACAGGAAAAATCTATGCTGACATACTGAAGCTTGCCCATCAAGAGTCACCTTGGGTCACCTAGTCTGAACAGCAAAGGTCAGAAATTGAACCAGAAAACAAATAGTTTGTATTTTCACCAGATCTCAAATTTGTAAATTCTTTGTTGCCTGAAGTGAATTTAATCTTGGTCTCTGAGCATGAGATCTCATAACCAGTCTATTATGTCAGTGAGCATAGCATGAATAAGTATACCTGATGCTGTGTTGATAATAAAATGTCAATTGAAAAGTTTATTCCTCTAGAAAACTGTAAATGGTGCTTGGATTCATTTTAGAAGTGCCTGTGTTCCCCATCAGAACAGAATCAGAATAAAATGTGCTTAAACTTCAGTATAAACTTCACAGGTTTTGCCTTAAAAATCAATCCTAGTTCTTAAGATGCCTTTTTTATAGATTTTCTGAAAAGACACCCACTTTAGCAAAGGGGAAGTTCAGTCTGTGCCATTTGTACTTGACTGCCTTGTTTGAGCTGCACTTGCACGATTTCTTCCCTTTTCTTCCAGAGATGGATGGTTTTCTATATGTATCCCTCAAGCTCTCCTAATTTTCTTTAACACCTTTGACCTGATATTTCTGACTAGCTGGGTCTTGCTAGCTGTAAAGTATATTCCTTTTGCAAGTGACATACCTTTTTTCTGAGGTAGAATCCCCATGTGCAGGTCTTTGAAATAGTTGCTATTAAGTGTGTCCTGTGCCTAAGGGAATTCATACTTAATAATTACATGGCACACATTACATATTCTTTGCACATTCCCAAAGACTTACGTTTCCTCAGAGCATCCTATGACAATAGATGCTTTGCCAGGTGGGAGTTACAAGAGGCTCTGATGGAAATTACAACCTTTCAGGCTGTACCAAAGAAGTAATTTTCATACCCTATTGTACTGTAGCAGTCTCTCTTTCATTAAGAGAAAGTTAAAACTGATTGTAGACCCTTGAAGTTTGATCATTCCTTTGTTGAAAAGCAAGTTACAGGAAGAGGAATGTAATCTAGGAAAAGGAGTTCAGATTAACAGCCATCATGGGCATTCAGGCTCTCCCTGGTTTCAGTATCAGTACATTGGGTTTTCCAGAGTTACTCTTCATTGAGGAGGGAAATAGAAAGTAAATCCTTTTCCTGCCAAAATTTAACCTCTTTGAGGGCCAACATTGTGCTATTTCAGATTCTAGGGTTTCAAAGGCCTTTGTTTCCTGCTGTTCTTGTAAGTGCTTTAAAGTATTTTGAGATGAAAGATATAGTGAGCATACACGATAGGAACATCCCTTACGGTAGAACATCACTGTGGATAAATGGTCCTAGGAAAAATTTGGTTTCCTGAGTGGGACAATGTATTGAGTACCAAACCCTATGTACCACAAGTGAGGTCGCAGCTTGAAGGGCAGTTGAAGAGTGCTAGATCAGAGCCTTCAGAGACTTCAGTTCATGCTGGTATCTCTACAAATATTTTCTAGATTATGTCTTGAAATGTGGATGGACCTGATAGTGAATAAAGTCCCGTTTCTCTAACTGAAAAGATGACCAGTAGTGTTGATGCCTTTTCTGTGCATGTTTATGTGAATTTTGACAATTGTCTGTTAGTAATTTGGCAGTGTTTATGTAAGTCACTCTGAAGCAATCACACAATCTGAAATCTTTTTTTCACTTGGCAAAAATGAAAAAAAAAAAGGTTACTTAGGTATAAGTGGCTTTTTTATTATCCTGAAAATTGTTCTAGGGTGAAGGTAAAGAAAGGTTCAGTCCTCTATCTTCCTTTTTGGTGAGCACTGTAGTGGATAAGTCTTCATCATATAATAGAGGGCAAAGGAGTGTAGAGACATGCATAGACTATTTGTATCTTCTTAAACAAGCATCCTTTGTGGGTAAATAGAAATAAATCTTACTGGGATTTCAGCCCTGTGCATGTTAAAAAAGCTGCAAATACATTTCAGGTGTAAATTCCTCACTGGAATAAGGAGACTTCATGAGAATTAACATGACTCTAGAAACAGTTTTATTTTGCCTGCTGGAAATTTTAAGCATTCTTTTTTCTAAATACAGCATCTTCTGTTTATTTGGACCAATTACATGATAGCAGCTGGTATTTTTCCTTCGCTTTAAATGGTTTCTAGGGATTTTTGGATGCCTACTTCATAGTTAAAAGTCTACAGTGATGTGGTTTCTTGTATTTTCTTCTTCCAGTTCCAGTAAATTACTTTAACCTTGCTCCTGCTTTCTTGTTCCCCCTGCCCCCATCATTGTAGCTCCTGCCTACACTGAAATCAGGAGACAAATGTTTTGCTTTAGAGCTGTGATTCATACACAGTTCACACAGCTATTGGTTGAGTGGGTGAGTCCTCTTGTGCTTGCCTACAGCCTGAGTGTCACCACTGTGGCACCGTGACCTCCTCCCATTCCCCACACAGCCTCGAGCCTCCAGACCCACTTGGACATGACTTCATCCTCCCAGTCCAGAGGAATTAGTTTCATCCTGTGGGATGGGTGTTTCTGGTACAGCCACTCTACCATTTCTACTATTGCTTCACTGCTCGGCTCTGAGACAGTGCCAGGTTATCTGATTGTGAGATCCTGGAAGCTGGGTGGGGAATGTTACTGATGCCTGATACCTGATGCACCACATTCCACTGGGAGGTCCCCTGTGGCAGAGTGGGGTGGGTGCCATGAGGACCAGCTGGGTGGTGATCCAGCAAATGGCCATGAGCCAAGGAAACCCATGGCTGCTGGGAAGGGAGGGAGCTTCACACCTGTTAGACAATAGCAGGATGATCCTGGTGTTCAGAGAATCAGCCTTGAGATGGGTCTGTCCTTCAAATGAATCCCTGAAGCATGGTTCTTTTTTCCTAGCAGAAGGTGAAGATCTCCTAGTTCTTCTGGAAACAGCAGAAAAATAACACTTTGTGTCATAAGAGACCTAATTGAAGATGAATGTGGGAATCTGGAGCATGGTAGAAGCGGAGATTCAGATCAAGATGAAGCGAGCTGAGCTTTTAGATTGGCATGAAAGAGACACAGAGAGCAGTGGCTGCAGAGGAAGAGGAGTGTTGTCCACCAGTGTTGGCAGGGCTTGAGAAGCTGTAGACAAGCAGAGAGGAAGAAGGGAGTGCTGAGCTGCAGGACTGAGGCAGTCTAAGGCACGCCTGTGGAGACAGGCAGTGCATTGTGTGAGGAAAGGCAGTATAACTGGTACTCATCATTACTGAATCCGTCAAGAACTGCAGTGAGGATTTGGTCAGAGACAGTGAAAATAAGCATCTTAAATGCAGAAGTATTGGTAGGTGAGACTACTTTGTTGAGGAGGACATTTACACAGCTGGTGCTAGAGATGTAAACTGGAGAGCAGGGATATGATCAAGATGAGATCTGAAAAATACAAGATTCAAACTTGTGTAAGGGTAATTCTTTTGGTAGTAGGTAAATAGGTGAAGCAGAAGACTAGAAGCCAGTATTCTCCATGAAAAATGCTGACTTTCACAACTGAAAATGATTTTGCATAATTTGCCTGTATAACTGCATTATTATTTATACGTTCTTCTACAGGATTTTTCACTTTACTTTCCCATATAATAGAAGGTTCTTCTACACTGTCCAGAAACCATTTCCTACCACTATAGCAATGAACTTTCCTGAGGCTTAAGAAACAAACTTGAGTGATTTATATAGATTTATACTAGATCTTTTCTCTTTTTGATTTTGATAGCATTTCAAGAAAACAACCTTGATGGAGTCCAGGAATTCTTACAGATTTTACTTCACAGCTTCCCATCAAGTCATGCTGAGCTTTGCTTACTTATTAACTGTAGTTACTGTAATTAAGGATTTTTAAAAAAGGTTTAGCCAGTGTACTGGGATAGTGTAAAGCTTGGATTGTATTGAATATGTAACTCAAGATTATGAAAATTCTAATATATTAAAAAGCAGAACAGTTGCTTTACTATACCTGTTTTTGTACGCAGGTGGTTTTGTGGTACAAATATAGTTAGAAAGTGAACATAAAGAAGTCATCTGATGCACTTTCCATGTTTGTTACCAGAAAGTCTTTTCTACCTTTGATGCCAAAAATAAATTTCCTTCATAAACTACTTGACCTCTGAAAGTCAAGTTGGTTTTCTGTATGTCTGACATCAGCTCTACGTATAAAAGTTCTGAAAGGAGTTTTGGTTGACAGTAATGACACATAAGAAAGTAAAAACTTTTTGTTTAACTTCACTGGCTTTGCAAAGCAAATTGACATAAAAATCTCTTTTTCTAAGTAAAATGGAGTTCAGAGATGTCCTGTTTAAACCAGAAAGTAATTGCTGTTACTGACTTTTCTAAGCCTAAAGGATGTTTTCTCCTAAATCATTTATCTTAGCAGGATTCCTCTTTAATTAAAATGAGCAAGAGATAAAAATAAGCCCACTGTTGTCCATCACAGAGTGAAATGATGTAATCCTCTGAAATAGAAAGTATGTGTGCAGTGATATTTCTCTGCTTTTCCTCAGCAGTAATGTTTATAATACCTATTTTTGAAATTTTTTCCTTGTTTGTCCTGACAATAAGAAAATGTTTCCTGATACTGACTTGATACCAACCAAGCTCTTTGCATTTCAGAAAGTACAGTCCTCTTTCTCTCTGCATCTCATTTATAAACACACACATATGTTTCTTGTTGGTTTTCTGAAAATCAAACTCTGTTTTAGTTTAGGACATAATTTTCCTAGTATTTGTTACACTGCCTCATTACTTTGAGCTTTTCAGCAAGCCGTGAACTTTTATAACGACAAACCTCCTTCACGTTGGACTACTACACACTGAGCAGTGTATAAATGTGATTTAAAGTTGGAAAGGAAGGTGCAAAGCAATAGAGAGTTGTTCCCACTCACTATGGCATGTGTGAGACCACTGCTGGGGTGTGTCACTATGTCTAGTTGTTATATTTGAGTTTTAAAATAGTTGCACTTAACCTGAAGGCTTAACAAAAGTTTGCAAATTATTTGTCTTTTAGTCTAGTGTTCTGTTTTGCTTAGTGGTGATTAAGACAACTTGTTTTACAAGGTACTATAGGAAAAGGAGATTTTTTTTTTAATAAGAAAAACTCTTCCAGCAGCTAGTGCCATAGCAGCATGTAATGTTCTAACAAGAGAAATTCAGAATAGCAGGAAGATGTTACTTTTGATGGAGTAGTTAACTGTCGGAATCTAGGGTGGTTATTGCAGAATGCCTTCACACTGCACTGTGTAAGATGTTTCCACAAGGTTTGCAGCCTCACTCCAGAATTTTGCACTGAGTACAGGAACTGGTTGTTGGGCTTTACCTGTGTCATCCAGCCAGTGAGATACAGTGGCTTCTTTTCATCGTTGAAATGCTTGGCTGCTGGACTTCATATGAAATGTAGATTCAGAGAGGTTTACTTAGACCTCTTAATCTTGGAAGAGCCTCCTCCCTCACAGCCTTTTTAAGCTCTGCTGTAAAGGACTGGTTTTCTACCAAATGCACATGCCTGCTTCTTCAGTGTCTGATGTTTCTTTTTAGGAAGAGCATGGAGACTATACTTACGTAGAAAGGATTAGAATCCCACTTGATCACGGGAGTCTGTTGGTGATGGAGGGAGCCACGCAGGAGGATTGGCAGGTAAGAGCTCCTTGACACTGTTTATGTGCTTTACTTGCAATGCACTTGTCCAGATAGGCTGAGGCACTCCCATGAAGGTATGGGACATTGTGCTTCCAGTGGCACAATTGTTTTCCAAGGCATTAGTATTACTTTCTGCCTCAGGATTTGAAAGCACCCACAGAAACAATGGGTTTGCTTTCGTGTGCCAAGTGATGCAGTAGGAATTAGTTCAGATGTTCCAGCATTAAAGTTCAGCAACGAAGGTTGCAGCCTGCAGTGAAAAGAATAAAATCAATATAGAAATTTAGAGTATCAAAGAGTTGTAACTTTAAATTAAGAATTCTACAGTAATGTACAAAGACTTCTTGTTTTCAGTGGCCCTGAGCAGTCAGAACCTTATTTTTTTACCTTACCTAAGTGTTTAGAAATATGAATAAAAAATCATCACAGGAAATGAAGGGTTTAGTCATTGTTTGATTACCTGTATTTTAAATGTACAACTCATGCTTTTCTTTTTCCCCCCTAATGCCACTTACAGCATCGAGTGCCTAAGGAGTATCATTCTAGAGATGAACGAATAAACTTGACATTTAGGATCATTTATCCAGAACCTGATGGAGTTTGGAAGTGAAGAGCCACTTTGGACATTGTTGGATGTACACCCACAGCAGATCTAGATCCTTAGATTGCTACAGATTTAAAGGAAACCTTACAGAAACAGAGTTCCTTGAAGTCATGGGGAAAAGAGTTGATATTATGAAGATGTTTGGCAATCAGAAGCTGCCTGTGTTATGTGGACAGAAATTATATGTTATTAGGTTATACTGAATCACAGGGTTTAAGTTGTGAGCAGTGGTTATTCTTAAAAGAGCACAAAGCATGTGAAAGATGTGAGAGGTCCCAAGTGGAGCAGACAGATTCAGTGAGCACATAGTTTGCACCTTGTCTTGTCTCTCCTTTACTCCCAAGTTGTGATCTCTGTTGGAAGTAATGACAAGATGGGATTCTGTGATGTAAAGCCACCTCTGTGTGTCTGTACAGAAATGAGAAAGCTGTACTTGGGTGTGATCTCTGGGTATTACTCATTTCACCAAAGGGTGGTGCCCTGCTTTTTATCTCTAGGTTGCAGAGTCCTTTCCAGTTAAGCAGTCAGTTTAATAACTTAAATAACTGCTTGAATTATACTGGTGTCTAGTGGAACAGAGGGTCAAGGCTCTCTTCTGCCATGCATTCTGTGGTCAGACTTTATCCTAATTGTTTATCCTTGTAGACAGGACAAGGCAAAGGCAAGCAGCAGAGACATGTGATGACCCTGCTTCTGGGTCAGTGCATGTTGCATTAAAAAATACCACTCTTGAGCCTCTCCTGTCTCTCTTGAGCCTCTGCTGCCACAGATCAGCAGTCAGCACCACAGACCAGATTCCAGGCTGACTTGCTGGAATCCTTCAGGCTTGCCTGTTGCGACTCACTTGCTGCTGGGCTCATGACTGCAGTCTGGATGTTCAGTCAGGAGTGCTGCCTGTGTGACTAAGTTCTTACTGCAGCTAAATATCATCACTGTACAGGATCAAATCATAGGTTTGGTCCATCTTCACTGCCTGCCTGCAGTAGGATCTAAGCACAGGTAAATACTCTATGCCTTGTAACATGTTAGCTTTGTTAAGCAAGCTGATGTCCATCTTCTCTGTAAGAATAAATTGGTGTTGGGAAAATATCTGTCTTAGCCACTGTTTGTTGTGGTTTAAGTTCTTATTTGATGACAACAGTCAAGTTATTAGTAGGCAGTTATGCCTGTGTTTTCATGTTATTGATGACATAAAGGACATAAATGTTGAGCCATTTCACTCCCTGTGGTCTGAAATTGGGCAGAATCATTTCCTAGAAGCAGCTTCTCTACCTAAACCACCACACATTATTCTAAAATGAATGAATGTTAATAGAAAACTTAACTTTGTTATGTCTTCACTTTCATCCCGATTTGTACAGAAATGTTTTTGGAGTATTTTTAATGTTATTTCCTTGCATTTGAATATTTTGTCTTGGCTCTGTGATGTATTTAATGGGATTCAGAGTTGAAGGAGGCAGACAGTTACTTTCATATTTACTTTCTTTGAGTCATTTGAGCTTTGTGCACATCCCTGTATGTGTCCAGGTTTGGCAGTTCTGACAGAGAGCGGTGTCCTTAACCAAGGGACAGTGCTAATTTGTCAAGGTATTCTGAGAAGGCAACACTTTTGCCCGTATCAGTTCATACAAGCTCCATTTGTTTTCAGTGTGTTAAGAGCAGCCAGGCTGCAAGAAAGAGTAGGAGATGGGAATGAGTTGGAAACTGTTAAACCCCCAAACCTTAGCCTGTGGAAATTGCAACACATTTGAATTCAGTGAATCTATGGCACATAACTAATGGCAGGACCCTGGAGGCTGATGCTGTTGTGGAAGAGCAGTTTTTCACTTTCTTTTCTTGGTTTCAATTTGTCATGTTAGCAAATTTTGGTTTAGTTTCTGTATTTCCTTTGATTTGGGAAAAGACCAAGTTTTCCTCCCCAGAAATGAAATGATTTATAGGAGAAATGTTCTATCCCCCAGCACTCCTTTTGTTGCTGGAGACTATTGCATTCTGCTCTCTCTCACGTGTCAGCTTCACTGTATCCAGATCTGTTTGACAGTGAGGAGAAGGCATATGGCATCTTTCCCCAGCCTGTCCTGTGTGAACTGGCTGCAAGGGAACAGTTGGCCTAGGGGTCAAGTTTCCTTGTCAGGAGCTTGTGGTCCTTCCTTCCTTCCCCCACCTCTTCGCCAGAAAAGTCAGCTAGAGTCAGGTAGCAGCAAATTGCAGCCCCCTGCCTGCCAAGACAGCAGCAAATGGCTTTGGACAGAGGAGATCCCAGCCCAGAGCTCCTCAGGAGACCTTTCTGCAAGGACTTTGCTGTCGGTAGAAATTTGTTCCTGAATACTACAGGCACTCTGCTGAGTTCTCAAAATGGATGTGCACAAAAGTGAGATTTGAGAGTTCTTGAGCTGGTGGTGTTCCCATGGCAGCTAAAGACTTTTCACTAGAGACCAGGGCAACTTGCACATTTCTTGTGCTGCTGTTCAGCTGTTCCTGCTGTTGCAGTCAGATGCAAAGGGGCAGCATGTTTAGAATGGTAAATATGCAGTTAGGTTCCATTCTTTAACTAAAAGATAGGGGGGGAACCTTTCCCCTAGTTACATGGATTTGAAAAATGTTTCTAAAAATGTCATCCAAAAGAATTGCTTCCCAGTTTAAAAGCTTGCTTTCTTCCTTCTCAGAACTGTTGTGAGATTCTCAGCCAAAAACTTCTTGAAAAAGAATTTAAACTCAGAGTACACTAAATTAAAGTCAAATATATTATTTATATGTTCACAGAGGATTTGAGGGCAGGGGGCTGGCCTGAGAGTTTTGTTTTTGTGGTTGGTACCAGATTCTGTCCGTCTGAGGGGCTGCAGCAGCTGCTGAGAGCTGCTTTGCTTACAGAACACCTCTGTGCCACTGTTTTTATGTGAAAGATACAAACTGTGGGTTTACTTTTTTCCTTTTCTTTGAAATACAGAATGGTTTGGGTTGGAAGGGTCATTGAAGATTTCAGCAGAGTATGTGTCTCTTCCAAAAAATGCCCAAAAATTGCCTTCTTCAAAATTATTGGTCTTTGGCTTTCAAACAGGTGGAGTCTACTAGTGACCCCAGGTAAGATTCCCTTTTCCGAAACAGCCATCACCTTTTCCAAAATGTAATGGCTCTCAGATTTGATGATAAGGAGCAGATGAATGGAAGCTGTCTTGGGTAAGGATGGACAGTAGCCTGCCTTCCTCAGGGAACATGCAGGATGGAGCTGTTCTGAAAAAAAACCCCACAACTGGGTCCATATGTAACCATTCATTTATTTAACAGCTATGTAAGTAATAACATTATTAATTAACCACGCTGGTGTCAGGCATCACTCTGTCCCCATGCTATTTGTAATCATTTTGTCACAGAATACTTAAATATCCAAGCACAAACTCTTGGTGAGGTTGGAATGTATCTGATTCAATACTGCACTTTTGGGCCACAGTGGGTTGGTCTGAGCACACACCATTTGAAATCAATAGCAAAGTTCTGTCACTTCTCTGCTCTGGGTTTTTTGGGGTTTTTTTTTTTTGTTTTGTTTGGGTTTTGGTTTTTTTTTTGGGGGGGGGGGGGGGTTGGGTTTTGTTTTGTGTTTATTTTGTTGAGTTTTTTTTTTGCGAAAAATAACTCTTTAGGTTATGCAGTTTTGATTAGCTTTAAAGCCATGGATAATTTTACTTCATCTGTATCAGATGAATTCTGCCTGTGTCTTTTCTGTTTGTCATTACTTACAGGGTTAGCATAGCTACATGTAGTAATTTATAGCTACAAGTGGTAATTTATAGCTTCAATAGTAATGGAGAAGGAGACAGGGTGCCAGGAAGGGGTTAAGAAGTCAGAATTTTCATACTGTAGTGTTGGCAAAACACAGAGGACTGTTCTCCTGGGGTTTGGGATAAAAGATGCATGTATGATGGGTGCTGTGAATCCATAATGCCTCCTCCTCAAGTGCTGCTACTATTGCTTTAGCTCAAAAGCCTTTAACGCCCACTTTGCCTATTCTGGTCGTAAACCTTTCCTGAGTGGATAGGAAATCTGCCTCACTATGGCTTGTTTTCAAAGTGCTTCTTTTCCATCCTTGAGGTTTCCATAGCAACCTGGACAATTTGTTTAAATTGGAGCATCCTGACCTGTCCTGTCTGCACCTAAGTTCTGCTGAGATCGTGCAGGTATCACCTCAACACACTGGGGAGTGCCTGGTGGCAGCTTGCCATGTGAGGGCTGGCCCTTCCCAAAGAGTCACCCACTCATCAAGCTGACAGATGTGTGCTTTCTCCCCTGTTGTCCTGTTTGAGTTACCTCCTCCTCCTGTGTAGTGTTCAGAACAGCTTTGTGGAGTTATTGCCAGCTCCCTTGAAGCTGGCAGGTCCTTGGTGGCTCATGCTGGGAAAGCACCTCTCGAGGGAGCTGGGAGACCTTGTTTTAAGTAAAAAAAGTGGAGACTGTACTGAAGAATTTTAATCAGAGTAAGGAGCAAGGAGGTCTGTTCCATGGCCCCCATTGTTTGTTTGATCAGGTTTCCCAGCAGAAAGAAAAATTTAATTCTGTTCACACAGGAGATTTTGCTGGTTGAGCGAGACCTAGAGCAAAGTCTTCACATCACGAGATCATCCTGACAGACAGTGCTCACTGGATCCAGAATGGTGCTCAGCTGAAAGTTGCTTCCATCTAAACTTGTGTGTGCAGCTGCTTTGCTGGTCACAGAGGGTGTTACTTGTTCTGTTGCTCTGCTCCATTGTGGAGGCAATGCATAGATCCGTGCTGAGGAGTGGGTTGACATTACACTCATCTCTGAAATGCCAGTGCCAGCCCTCTGCCCCTGGGTGTGTGTTTCCAGCAGAAATGCCTTGTCCCGAGGCAGGCTGCCATGCAGCTGGAAGAACACATGGACTAGAAAGAGCCTCAGTGTTGGATGGGATGGGGTTTGTAGCTGTGACTTACCAGAGACTTACCATTGGGTCCTCATCATCATTAGGGAGGGCTGTGGGAAGGCTTCTTGTCCCGAAAGCTTCTGATGCAGAGAGCGAAAGATAAAGCAGGAGTGAGCAGAGACATGAGTTGTCAGAGGGCGTACTGGCCTAGGTATACAACCCACATTTCCCGGGGTTTGTCAGGATGCAGAATCTACATGGTTCCCAGTTTTCATTCCCCACCTCCTGCTTTTTGGGGGCAGATCTGTGTGAAGGAGGAGACAGTCTGTCTAACTGACATGGCATGCCTTTAGCTTGAGATACCTGTGGGAGCTTGGAGAGGAGACTGCAGGAAGGTGCAGGCTCCCCAGTTTTTTGGGACGAGCAAGGACAAGTGGTGGAAGAGGGATTAAAAATTGCCTGGTGGTGTTTTCTGTTGGGAAGCAGTGGGACGGAAAGGGAGGGGAAGTGGTGGTCACATCAGTGAGACAGTGTCTGACAAGCTACATAATGCAAAATTTGCCAATACCTGCACTTTCAGAGCACGGATGGAGCCATGACAGTTCATGGCAGAGATTGTTACCCTGGAATAAGCTGACAAGCCAGCCTGAAGAAATCCTCCCAGGCCTCTGGGCAGAGTAGACAGGATCCAGCATCTTGGTGCTGCAGCAGCCACAGGTAGAAAAGAATGTCCTGAGCTTTGGCTGCTTCTCTGTGACACCCCTGTATTTAGCACTAAACATTTTTTTCCTGGTGACCTTGCCAGTTATATTTTGGTTTTACTTCTCTTGCAGAGACTAAAGTGGCTCTATTTTACCTTAGAAAAGATCATTCCTCAGCTTTGGGTGCTATGGGCTTTCATCTGACAGGAACAAGGTTTTGCTTTCTTCTTTCTACTTGTCTGCATTGGCACCATTCTGGCTCCTCCTGACAAGGCAGGGCTTCAGTTGCTGAACCATCACTCAGCAATTTACTACTTTGGTTGTTACAATTTTTGTCTAAATTCTCCAGAAACCTTTAGAGATTGAACAAAAATGTCTCAAGGATTAGGTTACTTGAAGCCTGATAGTTCAATTGTCAAGAAACTTCTATTTTTAATTTCTAGACCACACTTGATTTCTTTCTTGATTGCTTATAAAGAGAAGAGAAAATGAAATTTATTCTGCTGAAATA